GCAGAGAAGCAATACATGGACTTCATCAAGAAGGTCTACAGCATCTGCTGCTACACCAATACTCAATCCGAAGTTTACGGAACCGACATCACCCCGATGGTATGCCACAACGGCAACATTGATCTCGAGAAGACCGTCCAGAATGTCGAACAGGTTTGCAAATACTTCCGCATGGATCCATCCAAGGCGAAACAGATCACAGATCTCATCCTCTGGCGAATTCAGAGAATGAGCAGATCGTTTTCCGGATGTCTTCGACATGATCCAAGGCATGGAATCCATAAAGAATGCAAACGACAAGTGGAAATGGGTCCTGATGGATCCGTCGAGCTCTATGACGCATTGACCTGCATCACACATGCCAGGAACTTCATTATAAAAAAGCCAGGACTTCTCTTGATGGCTATGTTCCCGAGCTATGGAAAATCACGTTTCGAAATTGCGTTCGTATTTCCATCCGTGGACGGGTCATATAAGGAGCGCAAGGCACGGGGAGAAATTGTTCCAAGGAATCGATGGATCGATAAGCTCAACACCAGATCCGCACAAAATGCACTCAGGCCCGATGGCAAGGAATTCTATGTTGATTTATGTGAGATGCAACAGCGGACACACACGACAAGTCGAGATCCAATCCTTTGGGCGACCCCTGTACTCTGAGCAGAAAGAGCCTCATCACGACGAACCGGACTATGATCTCCCAACGGAATCCATTCCGCCAAGTCCGCATCCGTCAAGATCCGAGGCGCCTCATGAAGATGAAGGCACAGCTCAGCCCAAGCACAGAATGCGAAGGCCGGCACCACCATCCATTGAAGAAGATTGAAAAATCAAGCCGTTCTCGAAGAAGCCCATCACATTCATGTTCCATGCAACCTATGGAAATCAGCTCTACAGCATTCAAATCTGGGAAATCCCAGTCAAACCCTTCGGGGAGACTGCACGTCCACATGGCATGCATCGATGACGTCATCCTCGACGACGATGAGTCAGAAGCCGCATTGACCCATGTGCCAGCAGGAAGAGATGCACTGTTGATCCTTGCATTCCTCAAGGACCAAGACTATGGCATCCGACTCTCCGAAGAGCGAACAGCGTTGACAGACAAAACCATTGAGGCAAGACACATTGTTGCAGCATTTGAACCTGATGGCAGCCTCATGGCGAGCAACAAGTGGATCATGAAGAAGCATCTCGATCATGAAGATTACGAGATGTACGACACCAAGATCCGCGAGCCGATGCCTTCTTCAATTATGTGAATTCCGCCAAGCACAGCAAGGAAAAGGATACTTCCTCTGAGACCAAGAAGAGACGGCATTCCACCGATCAGGACGAAACTGAAGGGGAAATGATGGAACCCTCCGGGGAAAGATCCGTCAAGCCAAAGGTCATCGTGGAATATCACAATTCAGAGAACCTAGATGAGTTCATCCAAGAACTCAAGGAAATCTATCTCGAAACAGATTTGAACAAAAAGGACGCAGAGGAAGAGCTCGCGGGGAGCAGGGAAAACCTCACCCGCTTCATGAACCAGTTCAACAAAGATCCAAGAAGAGCTCATCCCAACTTGACAGAGTGCGAGAGAGCCGCATTGGCACATGTCGATCCCGATAATTCTACTTCCCTCATCGAGGAGAATGTCCCACCATTGACGAGCACAAGCAAGCTCAACCAGGATCCGGATATCCGATCAAGCTTCCGCTTGGATTGAAGAAGCTCAGGTCACATGATGACCCGAAAATCATCCGAGCCTATGCCGATATCCTGGGATCGCTGATGCAGCCGACCGACCGTCCTCCTGTGGACTATCTCAATATGCATGAGTTCACCTCATTCATAGCGATCAACATGCTTACCCTGAACCATGGAAACCTCACAAGGAATCCAAAGCTGGACAACAGGGAGGTGCACAACATGCCGATGAAGGATCGACCGATCGTAAAGATGATGATGCAGAACAGTGCACACATCTTATGCCTGAATGAAGCAGACGCATTCTTCAGTCCTAATGATGAGAAATCCAGGGAGCTCATCAAGACGTTCATCCGATGCGGTTACAAGGGCATCGTAATCAAGCAATGGTCATCCAGACCGATCGCACGCTTTGTCCGCGGCGGACCATCTGCAAGAGTGGAACTTCTGGCAAGACATATTTCCACAAGGAGCCAGAATTGGGGAACCACATTCGGAATGTTCAGATGTTTCTTCGGAACTGAAGGAAGTTGCACTGATCCCGAATACGAAATTCCGACCTCGGATTGCTTGGCAACCACAGGACCATCCACGTTTACTGAATCCAAGAAGTACATTGGATCGAGATTGCCAACACGCACCATTGTCCAAGGACATGGCCGAGACAAGGAGATCGTCGTTCTCCACATCGAGCAGAGTGATGAGTTTCGTGGCATGATCCCGAGATCATCCAACAAGTCACTCCACGAATATGACGACCGCCACATAACGAGGGCAGATCTCCCATTCGCAACCATTAGTCTTCCACATCCATCCTTCAATTAGCCATGGAGCAGCAAAGGAAGATCTTCAGAATGCAATCATGCCGCTCGTGACCTTGTACCGATGCGATGCGATCACCGGAGACGCCAACAAATCAGCGAACACCTACAGCAAACTCCAGCACGTCTACAATCCGGCCAACGGTCTCGTGAACATCCTCATGAGAGCATATCAGAGACTGTGGAATGAAACGAAGAATTTGCCACTCGTGGACAGAATGGAGTATGCAATGGAGACTTCGTGCACCCTGAAATCCATTGTCCGTCATCACCTCTACATGAAATGTGGATCAGGATATGATCAAACATTCCCAGATATAAAAATAACTAACATATTTGGATGGGGCAAAACGAACATCCAGCAGGATTTCCGGAAGGACGAGATGAACAGCATGGATGATGAACAACTGGAATTCATGCGGAACCATTACCAGGTCTCATCCGCAGAGCGCTATAAGCACGTGAACAATGAAATGTTCATAAATGGCTCGCAGGACTCCGACTCCCACAGTCCTCTCATGGTTTACATCCGCAGCAAATCTGCAACCAGTAAACGCAGCTCTGAGAGATACCAGGAGTACATCAAGAAGAAACAATCATCCTGGACCCTGCAGGAGTATAAGGACTACAACAAGCAGTGGGGACATCAGAAGCAGTGGAAGGACTATAGCACCTCGACCTGGAATGATTATGGGGACTATGGCAGTCAATCCGACAGCAGCCGCCGATGGTATCGTCGATCCGACTGACCATGAATATTCATACGTTCAGCACCACGAACAATTCAGATGATTGATCCTCGTCGTCTACAAGACTATACCATGAGTGAGGGATCAATAGTTTCACAATCGTTCCGCGTGTACATAGCGTTGTACATCACCCTTTGATACATCTAGGTATCCAAAAAGAAGCAGTACATAGTGTTTCCCATTTCGAAGGCCAAGACATTTCATCCGAGCAGAAAAAGGATGAATCCGGCATTTTTAATACACATGGCTACGGCATACATCAAGGCTACGGCCAAAGGCCATGAAGCCAATAGTATTTCATACTTTGTGCTGGAGATCAAAAGAAATTTGTGTCTGTTTTGTGTTCTGTTTTTCAGACCATTGATCTCCCGCAACATTTGGCTCAAGGGCCCCTTTTTGTAGAAACACAATCATCCGAGCGTGTGACAAAAGAGCCTCAGCAGGCCGCTTGCAGGATTATCCACAAGACAATCCACCAGGGACAATCCATCCTCCAATCATCCATTACTGGCATATTGGACTCTCTCCGGAATAGATCCAGGGACCAACAACGACCTCAACTACCACAGGTTTCCAGTTCCCTCCGGGGATAGGCACCTGGGGCAGTGGGCCTCACCCCCCCCCCCCCCCTCCTGGGGTGTTTTTGTGTTTTTTGCTGAAATTGAGAGCTTTTGGGTTCGGCCAAACAGGGTCCCTTTCCGAAAAATTCCAGCTGGAGTGGAGGCCGCCCTCCTTCCCATGTTTTTTTTTCGGCTGGTGTTGGTGGCGGTGGGTGTCCCAGTTCTGTGGCCGGGTTCTTGCAGGGGTGGTTTGTTGGGTGGGAGGGGCACCCTTTCAATCGGCTGGTGGGGGTGGGGTTCCTAGTCGCCTTTTTTTTTTGAAGGAGTTGGTTTTCACGAGTTGGGTATGTCTTGTCACCTTGCACCCCCTAAAAGGCAGTTAGAAGGTGAACCATCGGAACCAACCATTTCCACCCTGGAGCCCAGCAACTGCCAGGGCAGAATTCCCACGTTCGCCATATTTCAGGCCCTCTGGTGCCCGACTTTTGCAACCTCAGATTTACTCTGAATTGGGAGCCCCCCGCCCTATGAGTCAACCAGGGGTTGATGAACCCTGGCTTCGTTCTGATCCTCAGGGCTTCCTGCTTACGGGAAGATTTGTCTGAGAAACATGGTTGTTGTTGGGAAACATGTTTCCCATTTTTGCTTATGGTGGTTTAGTGGTTGAAATCCAAATCCACTTAACTGCTAAAGCTTAAATTGTTGCTCCCCTTCCAACATCAACCAAGCAAAGGGGAGCAACCATGCGAAACTCTCGTGCTCTTCTGTTCATGAACTTCTTTTCGTGGCTTTCTTTTCAGGTTGATTTAAGCCCCAACCAACATGGCCACTAAAAATGGCCAGGAGAAAAAAAGAACGGCCAGCCAAACTTCTAGTTGGGCCGCGAATTCTTGTTCAAGGGAGACAAACATGGGTCATTTCCCTTTAAACCAACCCTGAAAAGGCCACCACCTCAAACAAAAAAAGAAGCAAAAAGTGACACATCGGCCCAGCAAAAAAACTTGTTCTGAGCATAGGTGTCCTTTTAGGGGAAATAGATGTCCCTGGCAGAGCAGATGAATAATTCACCAGGTAAACCAGGAACCGCTCTATTTCTTCTACCAAAACCACCTATATATATACAATATATATATATATATTATTTATACATGTAAAAGGAACTGGTTCCGAGGCGCTGATGCCGGTCATGGTCAGCAGCCCGGTGTCCGGATGCGCAATGGCCGGCAACTTGGGCAGCGCCTCCGGGCTGTAGCTGAGGTCCACGGAGCGCGACACGAAGGACCTACGAGCGCGGCTCGGCTCGGGTATGAGATGATCGCGGCTCGCCAGTTGCTTACCCCTTAAAACTCCAAGCCCTGGGGAAGTTAGTCTTTTACAGACATATAGCCCATGTTACCCAAAAAGTTGAAAAGTTGTGTTTTTAAGAGGTAAGGTGCCTTTTTGCCTCCTGGAAAAAACCGTGTTCCTTGGGTCTTCGATTCACCAAGCTAAGCTTCCATTTGGTTGAGACCCCTGGGAAAAATGAGAAAAGATGTCCAGTAGGGAAATCGATTTCCCTTTAAAACCAACAGGGGAAAATAAAAAGCATCTTGAGCAAATGGATGATCGGAGACCCGGAAAAAGCGGCTTGGACTTAGCTCAGTGGCGAGTAGAAGCCCTGCTAAAAGAAAAAAAGAAGGACAAAAAATGTTTAGTGGTTTAATACGGAAAACCCATCTGTTGGCAAAAAGGTTAAAGCCCTAACATCCAAGCAAAATGCACCTCTGACTTGTTCGTGGATTGAAGCGGAAGAAGGGGTGGGCCGTTTTTGTTGAGGGCACCCCCTTTTTGGTAGGTCTGTAAAGAAGCCAAGGCTCGGCTATGAGCTAATCGGAGACCCCCCAACAGCTGCTTGGACGTGTTTGTTGGGTTGAAGCGGAAAAAGGGGCTAGGCCCTCCAGATTTGAGAGGTTAGACTAAGTTGGTACCCGATTTTGTTTCAGTGGTCTATTCTAGTAGGGGAACCCTCCCCCACTAAAGTTGGTAAAAGGGCACTGGGGGACCTAGGGGGTGTGCCACCCAGCCAAAAGGAAAGCCACCATTTTTGTTTGGGGGAATTTCCCCAAACAAAAAGACACGCCCAAATGAAGGAAGCCCAGGGCCACAAAGCAAAACGGTTTGCCATGGGTGTGTGTGATTGTGTGTGTGGTTGGGGGCCTAAAAACATGACACACCCATTTCAACCTAGATATTTGGTCCTTTACCTCTTCACCCACCAGGTGGTCTCCGGCACGTCGAATCCGATTCACGGCATTTCTCTCCTTCCCGCCGAGGGGCTGCGAGAGGGCCACCACTTTGAGACCTCCGCACTTGCCAAATGTGTCGCTGGTGTTGGTGTCGTTGCTTCTCCAGGTGCAGCCCTTCTTATCCAGGGCGAAGTTCAGAAGCCTTTTCGATGACGATCGGGGGCCGACTGCTTTCTGGGTGTGTCCTTCCCCCTTCTTAAGGTTGGACCCCCCCCAAAGATGGTGGTCTTCCTTGTGGTGGTTTGCTTTAACACCACAAGAAAATACCCTCAAAAAAAAGACCGACTCATCTGGGTTTGCCTCAACCCTGGAAACGGCAGTCCCTTGAGTTCCGCTTTGAAGCCACCCAAAGGGAGCCAGCCAACTCTTTTAATAAAGGCCGGGCCATCCAATGCTAGGTCCTCCAGTAGAGAGGAGTTAGAATAAAGTTGGTACCCGATTTTTTTGCTGTAGTCTATTTTAGTAGGGGAACCCTCCAAAAAAGGGTTAAAGGGTACTACTGGGAAACCTAGAATATCCTTTCGAGGAGGACGAAAGGAAGATCGCCCGGACTCGCCCCGAAAATTCCCCCGAGGCCGCTGAGAAGGTGCTATAAGATTAAACCACTAAACTGGCCGACCTCAGTGGAGGCATGTTATTTCCCACCTCCTGTGCGAACTGGGAGGTGAAGATGGTTGTACATCCCCCCCCGAAGGGGGAGGTGGGGGGGTCCATTCATCTAGCCTCACGCGGTTTTGGGCTTGGTTCTCAGATTCCTCAAATCCGCAAATATCTGAAGTACCAAGGGACCCTCCTAAGAAGCAAAACGCTGGCGACTCGAAAAAAACAGTGGGCACCGACAAAAATGCGTCGAGGAATTTGCGCTTTTTGCCGAGCCACTGCTGGCAGGACTGGTGCTTTGCGGGCAGCAGATCCTCCTCGAAGAGCGCCTTCACCTATCTCACGGTGTTTTTTTGTTTTCTTGATACTGTGGATAGACAAAAATAGGGAACTCCCCAACATGGTTGATTTTCTTGGTGTTCCTTTAATTCCATTTGGTTAAGACCCCTGGAAAAATGAAATATTTCCAGTAGTCTCACGGCGGTTTTTGTTTTGTTTGATAATTACTGTGGATGGTTGCAAGAAACCCTGCTGCAGAGAGTCTTGTAGGGTTCCCGAAACGTTGTTTTTGCTTTTGATGGTTCGTCAGAAAGCCTTCGGGGTTTCTTTGGAACACCCCCCGTTGCTGTGGATGGTTGCGAAATGGACGAAAATTGAGGGGTTTCCTTGTAAATGGGGCATAAAACCCATCGAAACCAGTGGAACCCATCTAGTTCCAAATCAAGAAAGAACGATCAAAAGTACACCCATGTTGGATGGTTGCGAAATCCATTTCGCACCACCGTTTAGAAACCCTGGAATGATTCGATTCCAACGTAAATACCAACCAACGTTATGGTTTCAACCATGGTTTCAAAGTGGCGCGAACGGATTTCGGCCATCCACAGTAGGGAACTCCCCAAAATGGCTGGTGTCATTTTGGTGTTGCTTAAAAACGAACCAAAACGGTCTGCATTTGAGGGTTCTCCTTTTGGCTTTAAAGGGAAACCAAGAGGGAAGACCACAACTTTGGGCGCGTCCTTCAAAAAAGACACGCCCAAACCGGCGACAGTCGGGCCCCCCTACGCTAGGCTTCCTTCTGGAGAGGGTGCGTGTCTTTAGACACGGAGAAAAAAAAAAAAAAGCAAAGTTGCTTGCCTTTTGCCAGTGAATGCCAACCAAAACGAGTCCGCCATTGTTCGAAACACTCCCACCTTGTCCGTGTACCGGTACAGGATAAAGCCCACGTTTAAGACCTGAGCAGAGCGCAAAAACAAAGACCACGGCTGCGAAAGGAGCAAGACAATTGAGTCCCTGAAAAAGGAAAGCAAAAACTAAAAAAGTGATGTAGCCCACGTGTAAGACTTGAAACAAAGTGCTCCGAAAACCCGACTGTCCGAAGGGTGGCAGTTTGTCGGAAAAGGAAAACCAAGGGATCTACCTTTCCAACCCAAATGGTAGGGGCTTGCAAAAACCTGCTTGTTTTTGCAGCACCAAACAAACATGTAACAGAACCAAAACAAACCAAAAACGAAGTAAAAACATGCCAACGACGGTGAAGCTACCAATTTGTGTACCGTTCTTCGGTCATGTTCAGGTTGGACTAAAAAGATGGCAGGTGTTGGGCGCAGAGATCCTGATCCTGTGAACTGTCGGCCTCCAACTGGAAAACCCTTGAGACTGGCCACAAATCAATCGGGCGTGCCGTTTTTCAAGGGCACCCTTGACCCATCAAAGACACGAAACCCAACGGTTTTTTGAGTGAGGAACCACCCAAGTGACTTTTTGACTTTGGGAACGTGTTCAACACAGTGTTTGAAGGTACCCTTTTCTGGTTGGTTGGGAAAGCAGACACAGAGGCCACTGGAAAACCCCCAAAATCAAAAGTTGACCAATCTACTGGTGGTGTCCATTGAAACGATCGTCACTTTTTGAGGTAACCCAAAAAGGGAGATGGCTCGGAAACCCCGAAAACAGCCGACGGTTCTTTGAGTGGGGAACCAGCCGGAAAACGTTTTCGCAGCCACCCATCGACCCAACGTTTTCGCACCGGCCACACAACAACCCCTATACACGGGCGTGCCTCTTTCTTGAGCTGGGTTCAAAGGGAAACCAAACAAAAAACACATCATTGTGTCTGTTTGTTTTTTTTTGGGAGGTCCATATCCAATATTTGAAACCGACCCTTGCCAACGTCAGGTAGGTTGCAGCCATGAGCCTGACGTTGGCAAAAAGTGTATGCAAGCTAACCAAACGGCACCACACAAGCACGCGATAACTCTTTTATCCGAGCAATGTGTTGGTGCCAGGGACTCATCTTCCCCTGTCAGATGTCAAAGGCTGGGTGGGCCCCATGGGCCACCCAACTCACAATCTCAAAAACTGAAGAACGGGTGTGCAGACTGATAGCGCCCGCCCCTGAGCCGGGGCCCGGGGCACCCAGGCCACAGGGGGGTCTGCCACCAGGGGAAGTGAGTCACCCACCGGCTCCGGTCACGGGAGCATGGGTGGGCCCACGCTAAGATCAAATGCATCTCCATTCAGGAGACGCGGGAGAAAAACGAACTCCTCGCAGAGTTCCTGTTTGGGGACCCTGTGCAAAGGGTCGAACCCAGAGAAATCTGGGTGCGTCAGTTCATCAGCCCATTGGTTGAATTCCCGGGGCACGTGGTTGGCCGCCAGCGAGCAGCCATGGGTGTGGAGCAGGAAGACCAGCTCCATCAGGATCGCCGCGGTGTAGGGCTTCTTGGATCCAAGGTTGAGCATCGCCATGACGTTGCCCTGATTGTCACTGCCCACCGGGAGTCGGACCCGGGAGGACAGAGGGCCTTGGTGCGTGAGGATCATGTTACAGAGGAAGAGCGTGCCCAGCATTTCCAAAGCCGCAATCCTCCGCTTGGGATCCCCATTCTTGAATGCCCAAGGGTACTCCTCCACGTGGATCTGCTCGTGGAACCAGTACACCTCCTTCTTTTCCGGCTCCACTTTGTTGGAGCACCAACCTCCCACAGATGCCAGCCCTTCGTCCGAGGCGCTAGCATCGCTGCAACCCCACCAAGAGGACTTCGGCAAGTAAGGGGAGTACTGGACAAAGGGCGTGTTGAAGAGGAACCGCAGCATGAACGCCAGCATCCTGACCACCTTGGGGGGGTTCCCCACCGTGGTGGTGGCCATCTTCCAGGCCCAAAGTGGCTGGAGCATCGACTTCGCCAGCGGACATGCAGCAGTCGCCCATTGGATGCGGCCCAGGGCCTTCTCGATGTCCTTTGAGTGCATCGCCTGCCCTTCCACCATGGTCTGCAAAACCTCCATCACCAGGATGTGTTTGTTGGCGGCCATGAGAACCTGCGGGATGTTCGGGTGGACCACGAAGCCCAGCCACGTGTTAACCTCCGCCAAATGTGTCTTCTTCCAGCTAAGCGGGGTGCCCAAGGCCAGGAGTGTTGCCAGCAGCGCCACCGCCAAGTTTACTGCCCCCTCGCTTCGAAGCAGCCACAGGAAGTCATCCACAAAGACGAAGTTCCAATCCACTTGAGGGAAAAGTGCGTAGAGGACCCTGAGTGAAGGGCTGCCAGGCGTCCCCAGTAGGATTGGGCACTGGCCATGCCATATGTGCCTACCTTGTTCACCCACCATTCTTCCCCCAGTGAGGCCACCTGGAACCGCCAGTCCTTCCTGAGGACCTTCACTCTCCGGTGGGCCTTGGTGACGTCCGCCTTGAGCAGCACCCACTTGGTGCCCGGCTCCGGCCATAGCCAGCCCCCAGGTGGAGAGCCATCGTAGATGGTGCGGATCTTGTCCCCCTCGTTGATGCCCGCTAGGGGGCCGGGACAAAGGTCCTCAATTTCGCAGCCACAGCGCGATGCTGCCTCCACCTTAGTGAAGGGCCCTCTACCATGCCATGGGGACCTCCTCCAGGAATGTGCCCCGGATGAGCTCGCTGAAGTGATCCGCCGAGGGGTAGTTACCCCGGCCCGTGGGGTGAGGGAGTTCCTGGAACTCCGGCTCCTCCCCTTTCAGCTCCTTCTTGAGTGGCCAGATGCCCGGCGAGGCCAGGGGTGGGTCCGTGACCCCCAGTGGGACCCCTTGCTCCAGATCCCGGGGAAACTGGTGGTCGGGGTCCTGAACGTGCAGCGCCACGCTGTGCAAGATGTCCAGGAAGAAGGGTTGGCCGTCAGCTGGTCGGCCTGCCCCCGGCGCCAGAATCTCCCTGATATCCTCCAGCAGGTCCTCCGGGAAGGGATGTGACCCGTCCCCCCATGGCGAAGTGAGGACACAGATCTTGGCCCCCATCGCTGCTGCTTTGGACAGTGGCCGAGTCCATGGGGCCAGCCGTCCCAATGAGGGCTTTCCCCCCCCGTCCCTTAGGGGGCGCTGTTTGAAGGCCATCTGGAGGTACATGACCTTGTCGGAGAGATTTGGGTCGTGCGTGATCGGCAGGATGGTGGGCCGATCCGAGATTTCCATGCAATGGCGTGCCCATGGCTCAGGTCTGTGTCGGTGTCCGGACCTCCGGATTGTCCGAGGCCGAGACCGGAAGTGAGCCCAAGGTTAGTCCCGCCAACGCTTGTTGGCCGGCCTTCAGCCTCCGGGACTGGCGCTTGTTGTCCCCCGGCGTGCTGGGAGAAGGTTCCCTCTGCCGCCTCGGGGGGGTAGTTGGGTTCGCCTGGGGCACCGTGCCCCCCGGCCTCAGCGTCCCAGGACGGGTCCCGCTGCAAAGGATGGCCGCTGCGAGACCCTGCATCATCTGCTCTGGGTACCGGCTGAGGTCACTGGAGTTGAGCTTTTCCCCCCTGGGGTGAGCCCCGTGGTTGCATCGCAGATCATGCCGATGGTGAAGGGGAAGGTCCGTTGACAATGTCGTTGACTTCACTACCACCTGGCCCAGGCGGCACTCGTCAAACTTGATGAGGGAGTGGTGGAGTGCGTTCGCCCATTGAATGTAGGCCCGTGTGACCCAGATCGATGAGCACCTCGCTGCGCTCGGGCTCTTGCTGCACTCCATTGGGTCCATTGGGTGCTCCAAGAAGGAGGAGCCCACCTGCGGGACCGTTAGCTGACCTAGCCCCTTGTAGGCCAGCGAGGTCAGGTACATCTGTCGGAGCATGAGCACGCTGTCGTTGTCCGTGTCCTCCATAACCCGGGGCTCCAGGTCCTCTAAGCCCCACAGGGTCTGCTCCGCTCTGCCCCTCACCGGCGGCGGGCCACCCGGTTTGGGGAACCATCTGAGAATGCTCCACGTCCTGCAGTTGGGGCCGCCCCCCACAAAGGCGACCTTGCCCGCCATGGCCATGGAGCACATCGTAGAGTAAGGCTCATCTCCCAGCATGTCCTGTCCAAGATCTCCACCCTTTCGCCTGATGTCCACCGCCCAAATGTACTCCGAGAAGGCCGGGTTGTAGGCATGGAGGTAAGCATCCAGGGCCCCCGCATCATCCTTCCCAGCGTACAGCAGGATGAGGGACGGCTTTGACGACTCCGGCACCGGACGTGGCGTCCACCTTAGTCTGAGCCTCAGTCTTTCCGGGGTGTCCTGCATCCATGGGAAGGTGGGGCTTGCCCCCCCTCGGGATTCCGTGTGTCCTTTGTCTGACCCTCCAGTCATCTGTCCCTGGGCTTGCTGCTTGCCCTGGCGGTTCTTCCCGCCCTTGGAACGCCCCTTGCCGGGCGGATCCTCACCTCTGGGTCTCTCTGGGGGGTCTTCCCACTGCCTCGGTGGGTGCGGGGGGAAAGGGGTGCTTCCGCCCTTCTGGAGTGCCCTGGCTGGAGGGGCTTCCGGGGCCGGTGGCACCCTGGAGAAGTTCCCTCCCACCTGAGGCCGTCCTGGCCTCCCCCGCTCTGTCTGCCTTCCGCTGTGGCTCTGGTGCGGTTGGCTCTCCCCCCGCTGTGTGCACTCTCGCACTGGTGGCCTGTGATCCCAACGGAGACCAGGAAGCCACGGGGCCTATGGCACCCTGAGTGGCCTCCTGGGAAGGTGTGGGCATGCCTGTGGCACATGCTTCGATGGGGGGGCATCGCACACCCACCCATCCTTCCTGACCGGGCAGTTATAGGATAGGCCGCATGATCCCGAACACTTGTTGTGGAGGTGATGATCTCTGCAGTACGCCACCCCTTTGGGATTCTTGAAAGCCCAGTGGTCCGGCCATGGAACCGAGGGGGTGTTGGGGGACTTCCCCTTGCCGCCCTTGCCCTTCGGCTTGGACCGGGTCGGCCCCGAGGGCCAGGAACCTTTCCCCCCCTTCTTGGGCTTCTC